GCGCAGCGCTGCGCACCGTACGTAAATATACGTACAATACATAGGTAAAATATACGACAGGTCTGGACCACTCCTGAATTTTGTTCGTATCTGAAAAAAATCTTAGAATATGAAAACATTGGTGAATGTCACAAATTCTCCTAAATCACTCGTACGCACAACTTAAGAACAAATCTGTGTGTACCAACGGTTCTTGCATGAGGCCCAGTGGACCTAACCAGACTCTAGCAGAAGTGGTGAGACATTAAAATCTGGTCTCACCGAACTAGAGGAGCCCAGCATGGCTTTAGATCGGATCATCCCAGCCAGAGAGTGACGCAGAGTATCCAAGCGAGAGCTCTTCTCTTTCGTCTTGTCCTGCAGGAAAAGTAAAGAGAAGCAACTTGAATTCAGGAACTGAACATCAGCAGCTGCTACCCTCAAACACTTGACTCACAGTGGATCCAACTGATCGAGTGTCGTCCTCGTACTGCAGCGCCGGGAAGGCCGGTGGCGGCGGAGATGCTACTGCAGCAGCCATCTTAGCATCCAGCAGGGCTTTCTGGGACAGAAGGCGGGCCTCGGAGCTGTGCAGTGACTGGACGGTATGACGAACCTCAAGAAGGGACAGTTTCTGACTGAGCAGCAGGACACAGCTAGACAGGGTGAGACACAGACATTCAGCGAGGACACAAAGACAAAGAGCTGCTGACTCCGCCTCTTGGAACTCACTCGCTCTTCCTCTCAGAATTCTGCTGACCCGTCTGGATTCTGGACTCCAGTTCTTCGACTAACTTCTCCTTTAAATTCAGGTTCTGCTGAGTGAGTGCCAGCTCTGCTGTGGTTGTTGACAATCTAACAAGCAGACAAACTCGTTCAGGAACATCTTTCTGAACCCTACAATCAGACCTTTACTTTGGAAAGCCGCAGACAGGAGTTTTATTTTGAAGGAGCTCACGTTGCCTGCAGGCTGTCGGCTGTTAGGGTGTTCCACATGATCTCATTGGCTTGGATGTTGTCCGTGTCCTCCAACAGGGATGCATCAAACTCCACGCTGGCCTCTGGCATCTCTGGAGACCTAACGGGGGAACGGGCAGTTGATTACCAGGGCCGTCAGGTCGTTGCCATGGCAACCAGGGTCCAACTCGCCTGTATGTATCAATGAAGTGTTGGTACTCTGTGAGTGGGTCGATCTGCTGAACCGCTGCTGAAATTTCCTGATGCACTTTGACGATTTCCTCTGTCAGCAGGCTGCTGATCTCACAGTATTCCTCCAGGATACTTTTACTGCAGAGTACACAGGACAAGATACTTTACCTGCAGCTAGTGCTGGACAATATATCCATATAAAACACAACGTGACAAWGRCTTCTGAAAAGATACAGATAACCATTACATCAGTGCATGATGATATACCACAGGTTCAGTATAACTGCTGTTTATTCTAGGCTAATGCTAGCAATGCTAACTGCAACACCGTGCATATCAGTGCTAAAACAAGATCAACAGCAGTGAAGGAACAAACGTTCACAGTTAGAAAAAGAAGCAGAAGAAATAGTTTAAATCATATGAAACCCACTGGAGCCCACATTCAGCCAGTGACACACAGGTGTGTCTGCAGCACCAGCTGTGAGCTGCTCTTCAAACATTTTCACATGTCCAGGGCTGAAAACACCTCTCTTCATGCTGACGGTCAGCAGACTGACACAGTGTTTGTGTCTGGACGTAACAGTGGCACACAACTGGACTTGACCAGCAGAAAACAGGAGAGACGGAGGAAGACTTCGGTGGTGCAAACCTTCAGCTGCAGCAGAGGGACGGCCTCCACTGCTGGACTGGACAGGACCGTCTATGTCATCAGACTCTTCAGCCAGTTTAAAATAACACCTTTTTCAGGGTTTTTACTTACATTTCTAAAAACAATCCAAGCACCAAAAAATGCACTCAGAAGTATTTTTACTTTAAGTAAATGTATTTTTCTGTGACTTGAAATGACCTGTTTTCAAACACCGCTACTTGTGATGTCACAAGTCTCACTCCAGCCCACCCCATSCTGAGCCCAGCTCRTCTCCTGGTAACTCAAGCAGAGACTCCGCCCACTTCTTCACAGGATGGTTCTGCTGTTTTAGAACAGGACAACACATTTGTGTGGATTCATTTGATTTTTATTTTATTTGGTTTTTATTTTGATGGTAATCTAGCAATATTAAAGAAAGAATGTGTAAATAATTTCACCATGAACTACTTTGGAAAAACTGTACTTTCTACTGAAAACAAAGTAACCTTCTGGTGGGGGGCGGAGCTAATGTAAACAACAGGTGTGGAGGGGTTTCCATAGGTACTTCTGCAAAGCAGCAGGTTCTGAATGGAGCTGAAGAACAGGCAGAACTGAAAAGATGAAATTTTACTATCTGAGATTAATTTTGTGAATTAAATCAAATGAAGATGTTTTGTAGAGCCCACAGATGATCCTAACTTGTTTTAGGACCCCCATCATAGGTCTCCTTTAATACATAACCTGATAATGGAGGCAAAAAAGATGAAGGGAACAAATGTACACATTAATGAAGCTGAGGCAAGGCTGTCAAAACAAAACTGAAAAGGACATATGAAACAAATATTTGGATGAGACAAGGATCTGGGACCAGAATAATAAAAGAGCTGAAGGAGTTCAGGAGGGACAAACTTAATGAAATGACTGAAACAACTTGATACAAAAATAATTAACATAAGGACAGCAGACGAACATGGACACATGGGATTTATACATTTCAAATATGACTAATCTAAAATAAGAAGACATAATAAGATATACAGTAAGATTGATTCAACTTTTTTCCATAATCAAAAGTTTGAGTATTATAATGAGGAGCAATTTAATAACTAGCAATGAATTATTATTGGTCCATTTACATGAATATGTAATTTATTACCCACTCTGTGGGTGGGATTATGGGCAGACTGCCTGTAGCACAGTGGTTCTTAGTTCCGGTCCTTGTGACCCACTATCCTGCAGAAATAGTTTCCCTGTTTTGGCACACCTGATTTAAATGAACGAGTGATTGACAGGCTTCTGCTGAACTGAAAGAGCAGGTGAAGAGCAGGGCTAAAACATGCAGGGTAGTGGGTCACCAGGACCAGAACTGAGAACCACTGCTGTAGCAGATTCAGTTATTAAAGCTTTTAAAAAAGGCCATTGTGGTTTTACCGTTCAGACTTTATATTTTATTTATTTATTTATTTATTTTTGTTGCGGTGCTGTGTTTAAGTGTTTGTTTGAAACCTTCTGGGATATCTGCTTGGCTTTGCCCCCCCACCTGTCTCGTTTGTCTCTATGTGGAATGGACTTGTGACCTGTCCAGGTGTACCCCGCCTCTCAAAGAACCGTGTAGATAATGGATGGATAGAATTTAATACATTTTGGGCCAAAGTTTTGTGTGGTGGTAGATAAGTACGATCTCTATTTATCACATACTGAAGCCAAATACAAACATCCAAGATGGCCACCATAGCTAAAATGCAAAATTAACCATAAGTCAGCCATTGTTAAATTTATGTGGCTGAAATGTGGGATTGTAGTAGATCACATTGATCTCCAACAAAGAGTAAATTCGAATCTTTGGTCGACATGGCAGGCCCTTTCAGAGGTTCTCCAGGAACTATTCTAGTTTTAATATATCGTCTTCATGTTTTGATGTCGCTGTAAAACAAAATACCTTCTTACTGCCCAAGCCTAACTGGTACACTGCTAACCATGAGACCAGGACCAGTGCATGATCCCAGCAGTTAGAATACCAGCCTCATCTAACCAAAGTGTCCTTTCTACTCATTTGGACTTAAACATTGCTAATGTCATCCTTTCTATCACTATTACACGASTACTTCTGGGGATTGTTTTGTTTTTGAGCTTTTACTATTRTGTTGCTGTGTTGTAAAGGACCTTGATGGTGCTATCACAACCAGTTTCCTCTCTGGGATTAAAAAGTCAACTATCAGCACAACAGTAACAACAGGTGGGTTCAGGTGACTCAGCACCTTCAGTAGGATCATGTGACTCACAGTGCCAGTGTCATGTCCTCTTGCATCTTCTGCAGCGCATCGAGCAGTGCTGGCACCGCGTAGCGTCGATGCTCGTCCTGATGCATTCGGGCGCCACACACCGCCAACACATACTGATTATGGAGGTTGTGGAGTTTTGCCGTGGCTTTGTCGTAACGGTCACGAGCACGCTCAGCCTCTCGGCCTGTGGACAGGTGGGACAGGTGGGACAGGACTCAGAGCGGCAGGGAATGACGCCAACATAAAGCATCAGTGGTGAGGCAAACACTAACCTTTGGCCAGAGCCTCACGGTACTTTTCTTTGGCGCTGTTAGCATCACGGCTCAGCTGACGATATGTCGTCTTCAGCTTCTCCAGCTCAATTTTGGTTACCTAGTAACAACAAAAACAGTTGGACCAGTCAAAAACTGAACCAGAACCCACTGTCTATGTGTTTCCCAGTATACCTTGTGATTGTGGCTCTCCAGCTGCTGATGAAGACTCTGGTAGCTCTTCTTCACCTGYTGCTTGTCTCGTATCAGTGTGGCAAGGCGGTGCAGTGGGCCCGAGTTCAGATCATCGGCGTGACTTTTCATGATTCGACCCAAAGCCTCTGTCTGATGGATTACCTGAGACCAAGACTGACAGACACACTGACTCTAAGACCCTCTCACCTACCAAGCCCCACCCCCACAGGTAAGCAGCTTACCTTGCTGACTGTGCTGATGTAGTCAGCAGCTTCCTGTTTCTCTGTTTGTTGAGTCATGCTGAGCAGCAAGGCAGCGTACTCTTTATCACTCTTCACTCGTAACGTCATGAAGCGTTTTACAGTCTCCAGCAGCTAGAGGGCGCCACAGTAGGTGACAGGAAGTGATGTCAGAGAAGAGCAGACACACAAAGCCACCATTCAGCAATGTTTCAGTTTATTTGTGTCATTATGAGTTGTGTGAAATGCTACTTTCAGATGTAGGGGTCACCTGGAGTGAAGAAACAAGATTTACTGCCTCGAAGCAGGCCTCATACAGGCCTGACGAGAGGACAGGAAC